GCTCATCATTTATTCCGCACACACACCGCCTCCGCCATTCATTTGCCCATATGTGGTCCGACTGAAAACCGCTGCATTCTCACAGCAGACAGCGGCATCTGAATGACAATAAGCGGTCTTTTGCGTTTCCCTCCTCGCCCACGTACGAAAAGCACAGTGCAAACCATGTATACAACCACACAATACAAAATCCGGTCCCATCCGACACGCTGCAAATCGGTGACCAATCATTCGAACAAAATGAATGATCACCCAAGACAAATTGCTGGACAAATTGGTGTAAAACGGTCTCTGAGATTATTCTGAAGCAAACGATCTATTTTGTTGTACGTGGAACCATTGTTGTATGGAAATTGTTGCATAGCTATTATTGGTTGGCTAATCGCACAAGTGAACAGGAGTGCTTTTCAAAGAAGATGGTGCATATACGCCGATACAGTGATGTGCATTCCTTCACGAGGAACAAAGACTAGAAGATTTACATATTCCGCCAAATAACGTGCTTCGATTTACTAATCCTGACTGTAGTTTGGGATGGAAATTTCTCAGTTATTTTGATTTATTCGCAACATTTCACCACTTGGAGGCGAAAAATGCCCCATTCAATTGATTTTGCACCGCTACTGATCGAAGCAATGTGTGATGTAAATAGGTTTTGGTGCGTTAGTTGCTTGCAAACCATTACGTTTTAATGGTGCTAGTTACTGGCGGAACTCAAAAGTTTGATTAGTATTTAAAACTTCTTGAACAGTCCGAAGTGATTGTTTAAAACCAAATCTTCCCAGTTGACTCACAGTGATTGTGTTCTTCAAAACAGAGCTGACGGTCTGATCGAAATGTTGCCATGGTCATCGTGAACTGGCTCGGGTACAATCAGTTTCGGTAAGGGCCTACTGGTTTCGCTTGTTTCTCTCACATGATGCTACAAATTGTACTTTCTGAGTATTTATGTTGCTTTAGTTTCCTTCACTACGATTAACTTTGGGTCACAACAATCTCATTATTGCGACGTTTGTTCAGCTAGCACCGTGATTGCTTCGAGTTATCTGCCCTACCCAATTCAGGTGGAGCAACGTGGCTGATGTCCAAATCCAAGAAGACGAAGGTAGGCATCCTTATCACCTTTAAATCGGAGTCAACGGTAGCAGATGCCCTCGCCCAAACCGAGACCCTGAAAAGGTCGTAAAACCTTGTCCGCGGAGTTTCCCCAGACAGACCATTGCATGCCCAAACTCAGCGGCATGATGCCCTCAGAAGTACAAAGGCCCCGAGTGACCCCAATCTCTGTTGTCCCTGGCAATCCTCCTCTCACGAGTGGACCGCCAAGCAAGGACAATGGTTTACCTCCCAGGACACGACAAATCTCCAAGGCCTCAATCGCGATCTCCTGTGGTGAGACCAAAACATCCCCCAACAGCCTTGATACCAAGAGACTCTACTCCCCACTACTATAAAGACAAATCCCAAGAAGCCTTTTAATCCAAAAACACATCCTCGGTTTACTCGGCAAACCCCCATACCACTCTCCCCAATCGAGCCATTAGCACCACAATCTCCCATTCTCCGTAATGCAGATCCTTGTGTGCAACAAAGATCCTTCGCGCACTACCATAAGAGATCACAAACTGCTCATTTTCACCCCACTTCCCATCCCACTTGTCCTCCCGAAATCTTCAACAGGTCCAGAGAATCATGTCGCAGAATGTCCCGCAATCCAGACCCTCTCCGCAGTCCGATTAGTGCAAACATATAACCCAAATTAGATCCTCTCCAAAAGATTCCCCCTCTAACCCCGCTCTTACTGAAGTCTCCGGTGAGTGGGCTCTAAAGTGGATCTCCACTAACTATCTCAGCATCTCAAACAAGATTCTGGAAGTCAAACAGTTAGTGGCTGATAAGAACCGCATCTTTTAGCCCTCACAGAAATCTGGCTGACTCCAGAAAACAGTGATGGCGAAGTTTCCATTGCAGGTTACTCATTGATCAGAAAAGACTCAAAGATGGACCAAGCAGGTGGTGTAATCATCTACAGGAGCGACCACCTCCTCCAAGCGATTGTTCTATCTCTCTCTCATTTCTTCCATGTACTGCGTCTGGGTCCAAATCCCCCTGACCCTGAATCGGTACTTCTGATGGAGCAATTGAATAGTTTAAGATCCGCGCGCCCCAACGCACACCTCCTAATAACTGGAGACTTCAAAGCTCCGGGAGTAGATTGACACAGACTTAAAGCCCCGGATAATACCATTGGATTGCTACTAGTCGACCTGGTCACATAGCTGCCTTGGTCTCAGCATGTCACAAGCCCAACCAGATTCCGAAACGGGCAATCCCCTTCACTGCTAGTTCTTGTCATAACAGGTAATAGTCATCCCACGGACGCAATGCAACAGCGTTGCCCTTTAGGCAAGAGTGACCACATTGTACTCTCTTTTGATACGGTATTCCGCTGGCCCAGTTGTATCACACCATATCTTAGGAAGGTTCGTTCCTTTAAAAGGACAAACTTCAACAATCTAGGGTATTCCCTCCAAGCCCATCTACAAACCAATCAGATAAGCGAATTTAACCTCCTGAGCAGTACATTAGAGCAGTGTATCCGCACAGTGGACCATCTGCTAGTGCCACGCGTCCGTAAATCCCCCTTAACCAGATACTCCTTACCGCGTGCTATTCTTCATCTTCTAGAAGAACGTTCGCCGTCCTTTGCTAGCTACAAATTGATGGGTCTGACGGACAACGCCAATGGCCTCATCCGCATTCGCAGTTTATGCAAACCGAGGATCCGAGAGTACCAAAGAAACCAAGAGAACGGCACTCTAGCCAGGAAACGGATGAATCGGTCAGTTCTGTACAAATTTATGAGACAAACCCGGAAAAACACCCCACCGCCCTTGTCCTATCTAAATCCGANGGTACGCCAGCCACTTCATCTTCAGAAGTGGTGGAAATGTTCCGCTCTGCTTCGACCAATTTTTCAACATTCTCTCTCCTGTCAGTCATCCCAATCTTCATCCAATAACCTACAATCTCCGTTAGATCACGTTGTCTTAACAGTCTCAGAAGCGGAAGAACTACTCAGACACGTGAACTCCTTCAGCTCGATGGATTCAGATGAAATCCACCGGCGTATACTGAAAGAATCGGCGGACGTATTGGCGGCCACATATGCTCAACTCTTTCAAAAGTGCTTGGACACAGGTATCCTTCCACAATAGTGGAAGCGAGCGAGTGTTATCCCTATTTATAAGAAAGACAATCGACACCTGCCTTAAAGCTATAGGTCTATCAGCACTACTACTGATGGCAAGTTTGTTCAGTTGTTAATTTAATTTGACGGTATAACAGTCTTAAACCGGATAGATGTGCTAACCCCGGCCCGTTCAACAGGAGCAGTGACATCATTTAGAGACGTGTGGTATTCTAGTATTAGTGTTGTAATTCCACAAGACGGTGATCGGTCGAGGATAGTAGTTTATTACTAATAACGGTTAGGATATTGCTAAATTATCATTTATATCACAAAATATATCATTTGGAACAAGTTTGCAAATTTCCCGCAAACACACCGGATATCTAATGAAGTGGTCCATTATCAGATGCGCGTTTTTGTGTTCACCGTACCAAACAGCAACAGTTTACTCCAACAGGTCTTGTTCATTATTGTTCGTCGAAAGAAACTGCTGATCGCATCTTTTTGTGAACTACTCACTAGTGAATAGTATCTCACAACATTTATAGTGTCAACAGATTTGCGCAAGTGATAGCAACTACGCCACAGTTATCTGTAGTAATGGTAACTGTGGGCCACAATATCGCGTCATCAAGATGCGGGAAGAAGGTCACAGCAAGCAATGCGATTCACTAATATGTACAAAGGGACATCATCGGCTGATCAGCACTGACTAATCATACATAGTTCATGGTCTAATGGACCCACGATTCCATTTTGGACCATTTGGACTGTGGTTAGTTCAGGACACCGGATTCCCATCGATCGATCGATATAAAGCTGCATCGACTTGCTTCTTGGCTGGTAGTGTTAAGGAGCGTTGAAGCACGACACAAGCAACTTGGGGTTTACCGCATTGTTTGGATATTACAAATTACAGCAATGTTTTAGCATCATTTAACATTTTAGGTATGAAAATAAATTGTCATCAAGCTACGTCAGCTTGCCACTGACCCTTGGAAAGCCTGTACAGCCGTTTTACCCTTATTATAAATCATAAGCAACGCATATCCAGCAAATCCACTTGGGTTCAAGCCCGGGCACTATGGCTCGATAGGTTTGACGTTTGGAGCTTCTTCAGTGTTTTTTGCAATTAGTTTACCTTTTTTAGATCACAGTCTATTTGTAAATTCTTGTTGTTTTACTTTCGTTTATTCGACATGTAATGATACAATTTTTAGGGGGAGAGAGAAGTGGCCAATCAAAGGGCTTGCATAGAAAAAAAATTGGTGAAGGTCGTGCCATAGTGGTTCGAGCCGAACACCTGCTCCCTAGGGCGATAATCCGGTGTTACTAACCACTTGACCAGCACCGTGCGACAAATCAAGATTTAACCATCGACATCTACAGCTTATATTAGGCAAGTATGATTTATCGTTATTCAGTTCTACCGATTTGTAGCACATAAACAGATTGTGATGCATGTATGACTTGTGTCATCTTATTTTGTCGTCAGAAATAATGCATCATTTTGGATGTCATCATCATCTAATTTCGTTTTCATTCGGCTCAACATCTCACTAGTCCGATGTGGGCCATAGATGAACAGAAGAGTATTTTCCTATCATCCTACTGTACAAAATACTAATATCAAAGACGGAGAAAAGTAAATCTATTCGATAGCGGAAGAAGTGTCATTGAACTGGTCCCACCCTCTTCAAGGGGGGTTATTTACACCACAACAAGATTATCACAGTGATTTATTCACGAGTAAAATTAATTCAGTTTAGCACAAAAAGTGATCATCATCAAACCGGCAACTGCGAAATTAGTTGTTCTCGTTGGTCTCCTGTTCGGGTGGATCATATTGCTCAATGCGGGGTACACTAGCTTCGGTTGCGATACCACACATATTTTTGCCCGTGCGTGCCATTCGCATGTAGCCACTTTCACCCCAGGCGGTACCCCAACTATTTTTCAAAATCCAGTAATCTGTATTGTTTTCGCGGCCATATCCGACGAGTAGCAGATCGTTGGTCACAGCGAAGGTGGAACAGTTATCCGACTTATATATACCGCCCCTGTGATCATGAGGTTAGGGTATGCAACGAGGGTTGGGGACAGGGGTAGGCAGACAGACAGGAAGGCAGGTAGGGAACTTGAGTGAATCAGTTTATTCGTAAAAAAACAAAAATGTAATCTATTAAGATGATCCTTGTGACACTTTTAGTTGTTCCCTGTTTATTTGTTCATATTCTAGTAAAAGTAAAAACTTTCTGTTAAAACAGTGGTAGACAGTAGTCTGCTTGTATGCATTTCATTCAGATGTTATTTAGGAACAAAACAGAACTTGAAATTTTCACTGATAATAATAATAATAATGATAATGACTACGTAACTTTGTCGCATGCACAAAAGGTGTGTGCGTGTGAAAAATTATCTCAGGTTTAGACAGTTTTCATGGTCTCCCCACCTATGTTTCGCCGATTCGGAATAAATCAGTCATTAACCGTTTCATTTAGTTCTAAAAGCCCTCAAACGAACAAATAATATAGACCGTTATTTGGTGGCTACTGCATGAGCCAAAGTAAGTTAACAGGAAAAGGAAACAAATTAACTGCCTCCTATCTTTGTGACGTAAAACTACCGGTATATGAGCACCTCGGGGAGTTGGGTCAAGACAAGCGAACCTCGGAAAATAATTACGACGATTCTGGTGGATTGGTGGATTACCCACGTTTAACCCTTATGCGACATGTGCCCATTAGAGCAAAAAAATTTGAAACATAAGTTAAGAGATTATGGAATCCCTCCCCCCCCCCCCCCCCCNTTGTTGACGTGGATGCAATCTGAAATCTTGTGAACTCGCCATTTTGCTTTGGGACCCTGACACATCTTCATCGTACTCTCCTCATAGGATCTCACACTTTCCGTTGATCAATATACCTCCAATCTCACTCAACAGAGGTTAGTGATTCAATGTTTGACTTATAAGCCATAGAATCATCGTATGTGACTAGTGTTTTGAAGCGCTCCCATTGAAATCATCTACGATTTTTCACGACGCCTTGGAGCAGCAGTAGAATAGTGGACTTCATAAGTAGTTGCAAAACGTCTTGGATTGTTCTACCCACCATTCGGAGTCTTGCGTGCGAACAATGTCACTCAGTTCCAGACTACAGGTCTGATTCAGGGTAACTCGTTGACGCATTTCATTCCCGCAATGCATAACCCCATAGCCTGTCAGTGGACTTTTGCACTTATGACACTTGTATACTCAGCTGGTAAATGCACTCAAAGGTTCCCCATCGGGTTTAGGTGTAGCGATAGGCTGGCCATCGGGAAATCTTGATACCATGCAGCTATGGCTAATATTTTGTGGAGGATGAACGGTGTCAAAATAGCGGCCAATTTGGAATATAGTACCATCCTGCAATCTTTTGTTCTGTAGCGGGAGCAAAATTTGTTCCAACGTACGACGAGTATAAGTCACAGAATCTTGCTTACTATCAATTGGAACTTGCCCAATTTAACCGTTGGCTCGGGAGAATCTTTGCATGATCACTGAGCTTTTTTCGTTGTCTTTCTGACAGATAATTCTGTTTTGTTTTTATGATATAAATTAAATGAATTAAACATTTTCCTCCTTGCCTGTTTCAGACCACAATGAACGCAGTTATATTTTTTAGGCTTAGGAACGCGTTTAGGCCACACATTGCTCGCTACATTCCACATACCGTCCGTCGAAATTTACTTACCTCTTGATTAACCTGTTGATTCCATGCAATCTGGAAATCTGTCAGCCTGTTTCCACATCGTATGGCTCAAACAAAATTCAATGTGAGAGGCTCTAAGGCTAAGGTAATGCACGTGTTTCAGTGCATTTAAATCACACGATTCCTGGTTGTCACAAAATCTAAGGCTCAGCTTGTTATCGAAACACACGGGTCATTCGAGCGCTCTTTTCAAATTTGTATTCATTAGACGATAAAGATGCTGGAACTGGGGGTGGGGGCTTCTGTTGGGATCTATATGTTCGTAGGTCCCTGTATTTTGATGGTGCCTTGAAGATTTAGCAAGTCTTTAAAGCAAGAAGCTCGTCCATTTGAAGTTAGGGCGATCGACGACCAAGCTATGCATATAACGGTCTTAAATTATAATAGAATCACTCTTTATAGCACTCCTCACTCAAACAAGGTCACCTCGTCCGTGATAGACGGAGAAAGAGCTTTAAACTCCGGTTATCCTTGCATTGAATCAGTTCGATAGGGGCCATAGTTGCGGTTTGCCATTATACCCCGGAGGATATTGCCAACATAGTAGCGCATGGCAACTCATATTAATGCGATGATCTACGAAACTGAATCACCAAGTCATCAAATGACCTCTGGAGTCTTATATTGAAAATCTTTGATGATTTGGTGCACCTTGAAGCCTCAGCTCTCCTCTCTAGATTGAATAAATCAACCTAACAATAGGTTTCTACAACCATGTAACCGGGACCCAGTATCGATTACATTTTATTATGCACATGGTGACTGGTAAGTAATGAGCAATGTATCGCCATGTGGATGACGTATTTATAAGCAGAAAAATGAAGTGACTGCAAGTAAGCCATCTGATCAATTTATTACCACTGGCAGAGTGTACTGCATTGAAATATATCAAATATATATTCCGGAAATAAACGTAAATGGTTTAGACATGAATTTTTTTCAGCACATATGTAAGCGGTCTGTAAAATACTTTCATTTCACTACTTTTGACCAATACTATATGATGTTGATTTGTTCCGGAAGCTTATCAATAGAAAGCACAAAAACCGGAATAGGAATATGTATAAAACACATCAAGTGCTCACAAAAGAAACACGAGGGCACAAAGCGTACCTGCGAAAATTAATCGCAAAACGCGCACCGGTCGGAGCAGTCGACGATAAAATGCATAGAATGTACAGTAAGTGAAAGTTTCTGACATCAACATTTAAGATTGATCACTTCGAAAGTTTTAGGTTGCGTGAACATATTGCACCTATATGACAAATAGTTGTATTCAATGAAATACGAAAGTTTTTCTAAACAAGCGTACTTATTCAGATGGTGAAAGTTCAGATTACGTACTTCCTTGACTAATGAAACATACGTGAATTAATTTGGTCGCAAGATGGAACCACTACGTAAAAATGTATAGTCATTCGACTGGAAATTTATCACCATTAGGCTATCTTCTGGCAATACCTATTAACTCGGGAAGTTTCCAACTTTTCGCGCTGCTCCGCAATAAACGTAAGTGCACTGGCGACATCGCTCAAATTCACGAATATCGTCGAACTGTTCCGATGATGGTTTCGCTTGGTTTTGAAGCATATCCCTACAAACTGTTCCTGTCCTATGTAAGGCTACTAACGTAACACCAGCACCGCGAAACACATCACAACCTTCTTCACTGTTAGCAGGAGCATCTTTCTCATGTTCACGACCAGTTAACACTATAAACATTTCAAATATGGCATGAAAAGAAAAATATGTAAGGTATATCGACAAAGTTTCATCGTTTTCCAAATTTAAGACGCACGTGTAATCCCGAAATCCGTATTCCCCATCAACCTTTACGATAGTAGGACCAAAACTGGCTACCAAAGACTGTAGTGCAGTTTCGTTGTCGTCAGCCACAATATAGTATGCTTTGACACGAATGATGGACGCGGATTCATTATAGCGACAGTGACCTTTCTAAAACATTAGGGAAAAAAGTCAAAGATACAGAACTGAACCGACGTTTTTCGGTATGACAGAATAAAAAGCAAACAGACAGAAAGTGTATGAATTGAGCCACCTGAAAATTTGACGGAGAATGAGTCAATAAACAAATTTGTTTACAGGATTGTGAACGAGAATAAGAGTTGAAACCTCGTTCAGTCCATGTTACGTTCTACCTTATCTTATGTATGGCATAACATGCTCCACCGTTGAGCTCTTGAACTTATTCCCACAGCATTTGTTTGGCTCTCACTCATCGCTTGAGTTTTAATCCCACAGAATCATTGCACAGTTATTCTCGGGACGTGGTACTGTGACGCTCACCACAGGGAACTACCTAAAACTGTTGTGGCTCTGGAAAGACTCTTTAATAATGTATACACTTGATTTACTTGCTGGGAATTGAATATCGAACCTTCTGTTTGGAAGCTGAAACCCATTCCACTGGATCTACACAATCGACATGCAGCCAATTGATAATGTGACAAAACACCAGCAGAATATTACTCTCTGACCTGGCGAACACCACACAGTCACTGACGTGTACACGACAACGCAACTCAAGGACCAAAAGATGCAACAAAAATGGTCACGCTGTGACCTGAGAACGGACAAAAACTGCAACCAGGACGAAAGGACAATCTCCCACCCTCAACCCCTCGCACCAGTTCAACGGCGAACTGAATCGAACACAGTGAGAACAAGGGACGAAAATAGTCGATGGAGAAGAACACATACATGAACGAACGGGTACAAGCAGAACACTGCCACTTCAAAATCACTAATGATGTCACCTCGGTTGGTGATGACATGTTTGCAAACAAATAGCCAAGCTCGGTGAACAGGAGCAATGCAACCGGGCAAATTGTTTAGTACAGATTGCCATGAAATGCGGTTTTCGTTCGCTTTGAAATCTCTATCTTCATGTAGACCTATGAGCAACGTACCATCTGATTCGCCCGGTTCATTACCGTCCCATTACGTTCTCCGGTTTAGATTCTAATGGATCCTACATGAGAATGCATCTTTATGCATCATCCTTAGTTTATGCAACCAGGCATGCACCAACGACAAATAAGTTGAATGAAAGAACTGAGGATTGTGTATTACGTTGAGGTTTGAAGGATGGATAGTCAGTCCCATTCAGCAAAACTATGGTGATTGCTCATGAGCTATGAACTCTCTTGTTTTATTGAACACGATGTCCTTGTACATTCCGAATTTCCGCTTATTACCGTTTGATTCCATCGTCGAGCTTTGTGTTGTGATTTTGTTTCGAGTCTAGTTCTGAGTTAGACTATTACTGTGCGGAATCCGATATGTATACGAATTACTAGTCCAAGTGCTAACCACAAGAACTAATGAAGTTCTGTAATTTGGAGAACTTGAACATACATGCCAATGTGCGTTTAGTCGAAGATTATCTTGAATGATTCGAGATTTGGTGTATTACGCGGAAAGGACTCGATGGCGAACGTAAAGCGGCTGATTTCCTGACGACTATAAGAAAGGATGCACACTCACTGTTAAAGAATTTGGCATTTCCTGAGGCTCCTATATCGTTGCCATATGAATCCCTGAAAACATTGCTGCTGAAGAATCTACACCCGGGTAATTTCAAAGCCGCTGAGCGAGCCGAATTTCATTCACTCACACGTGATGGAAGCCAACCCGTACGTGAACTTATTCTTCAGCTTCAGACTCAAGAGTTTCGTTGTAATTTTGGCGATCAACTACAAATCCAGCTACATGATGGATTAATTGCTGGTATTAACTGCCCTGAACTGCAGCAAAAGCTCCTGCTCATGCACGATTGCACATTTCAGTTGGCTAAGGCAGCTTATGAACAGTACCAAGATGTCCGTGCCATTATTTGTGATGAACCCAACTTGTTGTTCAATGCCAGCGGTTCCAAACAGTCACCATCCCGACGAAGGCGGTGTTTCGAAAAGGGCTCGAAAAAACCAAGCAACATCAGTTCTCCAACCCAAAATGACCAACAGATTCAACGATGGAACAAGTGCAATTCCTGTGGTCAAAGATATTCGTGGCTATCCTGTAGATTTCGTAATGCCAAGTGTCACCATTGCGGTAAGCTTGGCCCTATCCAATCTGTCTGTAAAAGTGCGAAGTCGTGTTTTACAAAACGTACGACTGTTCATTCCTTTGAAGATTTATTCTGTGATTTACAATCCCTAACTCTAGCCAGTATCAGTTTACGTCTATCTCATCATATTTCTGGCGGTTTCATCATTAATGACTCCACTCGCCATACATTCATCATGGATACTGGTAGTGTTGATTCTTTCATTTCCAACAAGCTATTTTGTCAGTTAAACCCCCAAGTTGTACTTTCCCCAACAGACATTTCAGTTAAGGGAATTACCGGTCATTCTTTGCCCGTCTTAGGATCATGTGAACAGCTTCTTAAAGACGATAAATCACAAACATTTCACTGCCCGTTTTTGGTTATTGATTCCGATATTTCTATAATTGGTTTGAATTGCCTGAATCGTATGCATCTGTCATTTTCATTCTTGTCTGACTCCCATCAATCACGTCTTCATCACTTAGTACTTGAATGTTCCAAGGTAAAGGGTGGTATCAAAATGACTCCTGTGAGTCTCGAAGTGATCGGTTCTCCGGTGTTTATGAAACGTCGGATTATCCCACTTGGACTTCGTGAGCCCGTAAAAAAGGCGTTAGATGAAATGGTGAGCAAGGGAGTTATGACACCTGTAAATTCTTCAGCTTGGGCCACACCAATTGTTACTCCACTAAAATGTAACGGGAAGACTCCTAGGATATGTGGGGATTATCGAGTTACTGTTAACAGACAGATGAAACAGTCCAGTTGTGCCACCGTCGAACCAGAAGGCATTCTGCATGAAATTCATGGATCCAAATTTTTCTTTAGTCTAGACTTACAAGATGCATTTCTTCAAATTCTTCATGATGAAAAGTCTCGTGAACTTACGACTATTAGCATACCTTTTGGTTTATTTAGCTACAATTTTCTACCTTTTGGAATCAGTGCCTCCCCCGCTGTTTTTCAAACTACTATTAATTCCATCATTCCGGTGTATGTGCCTATCAGAACGATATTATTGTCCATGCGCCTAGCAGACACTTACATGACGAGCGTTTCTTTGCTTTGCTTGAAAGATTTCGTTCTCATAATGTTTCTATTAGCCCTAATAAATGTGCCTTTCGTACGGTTAAATTTTCTTGTTTAGGTCGTTGGGTTGATGAATCCGGATTCCATCCTGACCCTAATCGATTTTATTCGTTGACTAATGCTCCATCTCCCAAGTCATTCCATGAACTTCGTTCTTTGATTGGTTCTTTGCAATACTATTCCAAGTTTATTCCTAACTTTTCAACCCAAGCTGCTCCATTGTTCGATTTAAAGTCACAGAAAATATTTCGGTGGACTTCGGTCCATGAACGTGCCTTGAGGAAGTTACTTTTCTTTTTGTCTACCAGTGCTGTTTTACGTCCTTTTTCCCCACGATTACATTCTATCGTCATCACGGACGCATCGCCCTTTGGAATTGGAGCTGTTTTGGGGTAAAATGGTCATCCGGTGCTGTGCATCTCACGCAGATTCACGGCTGCCGAACGTGGGTATTCCCAAACTCGACGAGAAGCTCTAGCTGTCTATTGGGCTGTCACGCGTATGCACAACTGTCTTTACGGCACTCATTTCACTATTGTGAATGATCATGAAGCCCTTCAGTTATTTTACAACCCTCCACGTTCCCTGGCTAAGTCATCTGCAGCTACGGTACAACGATGGAGTATTGCGTTGTCTGCCTATTCCTACGACATCCATCATCACAGCGCGCAGTCCATTCCACATGCAGACTATCTACCACGCTACGCCATTTCAGAGGAGGCTTCTACGGCTGATTATCTACTCACTCAACCACTTGCGGTAAACCGATCTGATCCAGTTCGCGAGACCAGGATATATTACCACGCTATCATTTCCTGTGTCCGTCGAGGTTGGCGAGGTGATATCAAGCGTCGATTTCTGGAATTCTATAAACGTCGTGAGGAAATTTCTGTGACATGTGATGGTGTCTTGTGTTACAATGATCGCATTATCGTACCTTGACATTAAATACTGCTGTTCTCAATGACTCACATTCCGGTTATCTTGGTATTGAAGAGATGAAATCTCTTGTTTGTCTCACATGCTGGTGGCCTGAATTGAATCATGATCTCAATTGTGTTGCAAAATCCTGTGCTGACTTTGTGCACAAAAATCACAGGCAACCTTCGAAATGGACTCCGTGGCCAGTATCTTCCGATTCATGGCAAAGAATATATGTGGATTACTGTGGTTCATTCTTCCACAAGTATTACGCATTGGTGATCGTCGATTCCTATTCCCGTTGACCGGAAGTGTACCTTACCACAATTCCCAGTTCAGAATTAACTATTCGAGCACCCAGGAAAACGTTCAGTAGAGAAGGTGTCATGCATGCTTTCGTGACTGACAATGAAAGTCATTTTACTGCCAAGAAAGTTACCGATTGGTTGAACTCCATGAGTTGTCGGCATGTTCTCACTCCACCCCGACATCCGCAATCCAATGGCGCAGCCGAAAACTTTGTGCGCATGCTGGAGAGTGCCATCGCTTCTGTGAATCGCAGTACATTCGATGAACTGGTCAGAGGCGTTGATAACTTTCTGATGCAATACCGTAACGCAGTACATTCAACTATGGGACATAGTCCAGCAAAGCTATTTAATAGTCGAGTACTTCGAACAAATCTTCTACACTTGGAGTCTGCGGAATCCGTGTATCCTCGTGGGAACGATTTACGACCCTCCAGGGGCATTACACTAGACAATATTGGACAAAGAGTATGCCGTATATTGTATCTAAACGATGGCACTGTACATCGTAGACTTTTAGACCAAGTAATTTGTAATTTGCCCAATCCTGATACTAGTTGTGAACTTACTAATCCTTTTATTTCTGAATCTTTTCCAGAGGAATTACCTCCCAGTACAAATGTCGAAAACAGTACAGTAGAACCCAGAAGATCTGAACGATTGCTCAACAAAGCCCGCCGTGATTACAAAAAACCGGAGCTTCATTCAAGCTGCGGGGGATGTGGTAATTACTCATGAACTATGAACTCTCTTGTTTTATTGAACACGATGTCCTTGTACATTCCGAATTTCCGCTTATTACCGTTTGATTCCATCGTCGAGCCCTGTGTTGTTATTTTGTTTCGAGTCTAGTTCTGAGTTAGACTATTACTGTGCGGAATCCGATATGTATACGAATTACTAGTCCAAGTGCTAACCACAACAAAAACTCTTCCCAAAACACCAATTAGTGTGATATTACTCACATTTCTTACAAGTAGAATTTTGCTGCGCGCACCATAGAGCACTCTGTGGATTCTCATAGGATTCCAAATTGATTAAGACATCCCAGGGCAGATTAATGGATTTTTTATCGTTGTCGCAAAACATAAAATCAGGCGACTGAACTTTTCAATCAGATTTGCAGTCTTTCATTGAGAAAAATTGGACTACTCTGTTTCAGATTATTTCATGCTACGGTGTATGTAACCTGATCTAGTATGTACTCATATCATTCCTGCAATAATCAGTCTGTTAAAGTAGTACCCGACTTAAGAACATGTAGCACAATTGCGACTTAAGTTCGCATTGCTTTAGTTGTTAAGCCGTTGAGCATGGTGCCACTAATCATATCCACCGCCTTGTTTACCACCTGCAGATGCAGTGTGAGGGTGGCTCTCGCCGATAATCAGAAAAAACGATAACTTGGGTCACATCGACGTGGACAATAATAAAACAATACTTACCAAAAATCCACTAGAAATATCTTATAGTAATGCTGAATCAGATCAGACTAGCACAGGCGTTGTGTTAGATCTCCCTGTTCGTCAAAATGCTGATCAGAAGCAGTCATGTTGAGATGTGATGCTCAAAGCTATATGCAAAAAATAATTAAGCTAATGAAGCGGGTCACGTGATTTTGACTTACCCAACTAGAACAAGAATCCTGAATGGCCTGAATATTTTTCAAGTTTGAAATAATATTGTTCTAAATGCGACGGGTTATGTGTGGAAAACATCTGCATAGTTCATGATGCAAAGTTTCGAATTTCAACCTAAAGGTTCACGATTTGGGGTCGATCGGGACACTAAAATAATATACTTTGCTAGTGAATTTTTCGATGACTATGAGGCAGGTGTCTAGTGCTCTTTGTCTGCCTTTTCGTAACATCACAAATTACGGTCACTTTTCGGGAATCTGTAAACTCTCAAGCATTGAGACTGACACAACAAAAACAACAACTATAAAAACCACAACTAATCATCTATATCAGGTAGATTTGGTTTTCTGTAAGTTAGCACAGTCTGTGAAAGCATCTAAACTCAATACGCATAGTATTTCTTATATAAAACAATCAGCTTTGTTATGGAAACGCTCGAGGAGAATTATTAAACGTATCTGAAAGATGTCTTCTTGCACCCCTTTGTTGCCGTTTTAATACATCTATTGTCTAGGCTATTTCATAGTTCAACTCAAGGTGATACACATTTGTGTTTAATTCGTTTTCATTCCTCTTCTCAATACTATCTCTAATGTTCATATTTTTCAGTTTTTATCTATTCATATACTGAAACAAAAGTAAACCATTGTTAGTACTCAAACTAAATACCATAGCTAAAATCAGGAAGGTTCATAATGAAAACCAGTTGAATGAAACAATATTTTAATTCAGTCATGGCAACTAACCTTTTCTTCGTATGGATACATTTCATCTGTTTGAAGCCCGTACTCGAGCACATATTCATAAGCGTTTAGTGGCGAGCCTCCAAAACATCCGAGGGTGCCGTAATACTCACTACAGTCCAGTAGTTGCTGATCCGACAGACTTATAGACTCGTTGAAATGCATTGCGTATTGACTCTCCAGTGCGGCGGTAGTAGCAAAAGCCCAATGAGCACCACATGGACCCTAAAATAGCTCTTAAATGGCATTATGCTTACAGCATACCTCATTCTTCACCGATGTCACTACTCCCTTTTCTCTCCAGTCGATCCGTTCTGGAATATCACGCTTCGCTTTATGCGTGTATTCTATCACATTCTTTCTTCGTGGTTTCTTTGCGATCGACGAGTAAGTATGTACAAATTCATCCGAAGTAATATCACTGAACTGATTCAATCCTTTTAGATACGTGACCAAGCCGAGGTCATATTTCAGATTATGTTCATGATTACTCTTCACCTTTGCTTCCCAAATTGCTCTGCGGTGAGCCTCTTCAGATGGACTGTTGTACACTTTATTATAACTGTTTTTCCAGTGTTCCCATGCGGCATCTGTTTCGCTCGAAGCATGGGATAGAAGTGATAAATGCCAAAAAATCAACAGGCCAAGAAAGCAATGCATCTTTTAATCTCAATTCCGTAAAGCTTGGTTACGTGAGTTTCAGATATACTAGTTCATCCGATCAAAGATCAAAGTGGATAAAATCCGGTGGTTCCAACTTCACTATCACCCCCCCTTCGACCGTTTGAATCTTTGATTCCAGTTCAATAGTGTGATTCGTACTGAATTTTTATCCGTTCGTTCAAGATGTTTCCAGTGGTACTACGTTATCTGAATCACCGCTCACATTGATCATGGTTTAAAGACGGGTCAGCTAATCATGATGTTCGCAAGCGTCGAGGTCAAAGTCTGAATATTTGTACTCCAACGTTTAACATTCCAATTTGATATGTAAGCGAAATCCCAAAGGTGTCATGTTGCATTCGCTTTGTCGCCATCACTTCAACTTTGAACAATGTCGCAAAGATGTCCTCAAACAGTGTGAAGCGGACTTTAGCTTTTGCTCTTTTCGCGTGTTCATTTGTTCCTGACCAAGCTAGACTAATTAGTGTAGTCGACATTCTGTAATCGCAGAATCCTCTTACCGGGTACTCGTGGCTGGGTTGACTCAAACATACCCTCTGAGCTGCAACCGAGGCTATTGTGGTATATGTGTATTTTTTATTGTGGTTCATCCTGGTATGTTTGTTCATCGTAACAATCACAGTTCGGTATACGTTACTCATGAGTAGCAACAAACCGTAATTGAAAATAATGCATCCGGTTGATCGATGCCACCATTACGGTGACAGATCACGCCGTCACGAATTATATATAAAATGAAAATAACTTTAATCAAGTACAGAATGACAAAAGGTGCCCAGTAATTCGTGCATCAACAAATGCGTTCATGATACCTACTGGAAAGGAAATTGTTATACAAAATCCTTAAGGGGTGTTAAGGATTATATTTTCGGTGTGGGTTACTATAACATATGTTCACTATCAATGATGATGGAAATGCTAACGCAATGAGACGAATTGGAGTTAATTGGAATCATATAGTCCGCCTTGGTGATTTATATAACCATTTTCTTGAAAATTGTTTTTCGCTTATTTTTGTTTCAGTAAAATTCATCATTTATGCTGGTTGTGATAGTTCATTCCGATCATAAATAGTGTTGAACCATATTGAAAGAAATACTGGGAATACAGAATACTGTTTTCAAGAACACGCCAACAGTACTGTTCACACTTAGCAAATCAGTCGCATGGGGCTTATTTTCGTTCCTTCTTAAACTTGTTTTGCATCACTAAATGACTCGGTGGAAGGGAAACATGAAGCGGGACCTGAGATACATCCTTTGCATGAAGACTCAGACAATTATTGAAAAATGAATCATACTCATTCAACTTCAAGTGAAACTTCAAGCAAATTCAATTGACCACATTCTACACAGAACTCAACAAAGTGACTGACACACTGAAAATCACTCTTCGTCGATTATATCGGGTCTATCGATTCTCCTTCCAGTTTGGACATACTAATTGGTACACTTCAATCAACGCACTAAACAGACACAACTAACTTGATCACGTATAAACACCACTGCAACTCAAGGCCCAAATGACGCAACAAACGGACCCGAGAACGAACCAAAAGCCGCAACCAGATGGAAGAACGATTCCCCCTCTTCCATCACGCTGGTTCAGCGGCAAGCCAGATCATACACAGGGACAATGAGGCTAAAAACAGTCGCTGGAGAAGAACATTTATAAGCTAACGAGTACAAGTGGAACACTGCCACTTCACAAGCACGGAGGACGTCACCTCGGCTGGTGATGGAACGTTTGTAAACTAACTGATAGGCTTGACAAACAGGCAAAGCAAATTCGTTTAGTATGCAAAAGTATGGTTATTTAAATGGAGAAGAGGACGCGGGAATGTTTGGTTGGTGGCTCTGAACAATCACCTGCGTTTGACCATTCTTATTCTGATTGGTTGTCCCAGAGCAAAGCGGTTTTCAAGGAGTATGCTGAATTCCTGACAAACGTACAATTCAACTTCTGTCCAAGTTACTGTCAAGTTACTGCCCGCGGCAACGACGTAAGCTAGTAATAGTACGGTTACGATGCGGAAGATTTCCAAAAGACTTGTGTTGGAATCACAGGTGTTCTGCTTAATTCCGGTCTTTGCTTCGTTGCTCTCACGAACTATGCAATCCGCTGTGAAGCTCGCTAAAACTGTTGTCATTAAACGTGCTTCAGTTGTTCTGCACTAGCTGGAAAAATATTGGTAAATGAAGCTCATGAATGGAACTTTGGAATTACCACGTGTACCAAGATAAACCTTATCGAGGAGATCCTAATTTTTAGGCTGGAAAACGCCCTTAGCATCGGAGTACTGAAGTGTAACGTTAGGCATGTTAGGCACGTCACCACCACTTTGGAGGGAGAGTTAGTCGGGTGCAAATCTCACTGGAGCATTTGCTTCATGACCCTATTTTGTTTTATTGTCCTCGGGTTCGAGAACTGGTATGACCTCTATTTTGGCACAATTTCCGGTGAGTTGCATCGTGCGCTTGGCTCTCTGTACACTTTCCGCTGCACTTTACATTATACTACGTACGCTCGTACCCGACTTCCTTCTCAATTCGAGCCTGCTCTGGGAATCGTTCCATAAGCCCGATTGATTGAATTCATAGACGCGTGTCGACTTCGGCCCTACTTAGGGTGCTAAAACCTCTGACCACTGGCTAGGGAAGCGAATTACGTTAAGATGGATCAATGAATCAGTAACCATCATCAGGCGTGAGTGTTTGGTATGATTCATTGCGTGACTGGATTGAATAACCTCATAAATAACTTCCATTAGGCTCTAGGCTCCCTCAAAAAGTAACGTTTCTTTTGAACCAAATGTTCTTGGTTACCGATTTCTGGCATTGAAAGACACATTTTATAAGTGCTAATTGGAGCTGACACGGTTATAGTGATCAACCCCGGAATTACAATAAAATACGCATATTCTGTTAGTTAGTGAGTAAGTTCGAATTCTTTCTTGGAATTCAGGTAGAATACAGGTAATTCTTTCACTGTATTCTTATATAATTCTTGAGCATATTGTCACACGTTCCCTTCAATGACGGACAAACTCAGGCGATCTCATATGGCTTAAAAGTAGCGGTGCTCTAACAGCTGAGCCACGAGGCCAAAGCATGGTGGCCGATTTATCATTTCATTCTGACATTATCCGCTTCGTTAGGCTGCCGGCCGAGGTTAATTACGGTCAGTTTGATTTATTTTCGTCCGCAGTTTACTCATGTAGTGACCAACCAAATCCCATTCTACATGTACCCTTCCTCCTGTGCATCTCATTGCTTTATCACACCAAATCCACCTCTTTGGTCAGCACGTGTTTGCTTTCACTTTCCGCACGCTTGCTCACGCTTCCGTATCTCTCCTTTGCTCTGCAGGTCGTAACAATACAACCCGTCCTCCGTTTCGTGAATCGTCCCGTTCTGTTTTCGCACGAACGTTTGTTTGCGACACATACATATTAGCTCGCGGTATCGATAAGCCATTGCCTACACTCAGTACAACGTCAAGAACACAACTTTTTCCAATACTTAAGCTCCATCCCATCGAGCCTTGCTCGGTACCTTACTCGAAAATGACTTTTTTTGTCGAAGTGCCAATCAATTCATCCCGACAGGACGGCAATTTGATAAATCCAGCCCAATCAGTGAGGTGTGACGGTCAACGTACCAATCACTTTGTGGAATTCTGAGTGAATGCGATTGCACGGACTGGATTGAAGTTGCGAGGGATTCATTTGAAGTTGAAAAGTTATCCTGTACTGATTGCACATGGATTGTGCCCCCGTCTTATTTTACCATACAAATAACTGACTTTAGTTTCTGTCTTCGTAGTGTGTTTAATTTGTCCGCCCAGTACTGCTTCTGCTTTTGAGTATTTCAGGGGTGGACTGAGTCTCGCGTAATTTCAACGTTCGTTATTACGCTCCGCAATAAACCCTGTTACAAATAACTTTTGTTCCAAACAACTAATTTTCCTCGCCATTTCAAGGAAGATAAGACTATTCAAGCAGAATGCAGTAAGCAATTAGCTAGCCCATGGCCAGCTTTGTCCAGTTACCTGTCGCTATGCTTCAGAAAATTGAAGTGTTGATTTGGATAACTTTGATATAATATATACTAAGTGGCTGCAATTAGCAATTTTTCAGCATTGTCCTTTTTACACTATGCCCCTTTTCCCGTACCATGTAAAACTTTATCACCAGACTTAACCAGCGTATCTTAGGGTACTCCGGTTAAGTCTGTAAAGTCTATACCAACAACCATTTTCACCTCAAATATACGTGAACTCAAAGGAAATGTTTATTTGATTTATCGAACAACGCGCTATAGCATTATTTCATTTTATTGAAGCCATACTCATAATTTCATTATGGCAATATTTGCAACCGGTTGCTTTTCTTATCCCAAAGTAGTTAGCACCAGTGGATCCATTAACGGCTCATAGTAAACTTAGGAATATCAGAAATTTTCTTTGATTGGTGGACACTATGTATGTTGAAATTTGAGACCTAATTAGTTATATCCAGATTGTGCTTAAAGAAATCTATTGTGGTCGCAGAAACAAGATGAAGTGGTAGAGAATTGCAACCCTGCTAGCACAGCGTCTTACTTTGTGCTCCCAGTTTTCTCCAGAATGCGCACTTTCTAAATAAGACCCAGATGAGCTCAAGTGTATGTGTATAGCCTTTTAAAAAATCATACAAACGCATTCCTGTCGATTTTGTTGTATATCTGTTTGCATGGCAATCTTCCGAAGTGACTGTTTGTTTCAATTAACCGCGAGTGGTTTCAGTGGCGGACCATCATAATCACTCTGCTGTTCGCTTGTGCGCTTCGTGCTATTGGTGCCTGCTGTTGATCTCTCTTCTAGTCTCATTGTTTTACTCGTCCTATTTGGTCTTAAATATTTACCATATGCAAAAATCTCATCATACTTCTAATAAACTAATAGACGGACCATTCATCGACAGTTGCAGTTATTTG